AGGGCCCAGTGGGAAGTCTGTGGGTGCTCTGATAGTCTGGCTTGGAAGGGCAAAAACATCTCCTTTTCCAGCTGGGAGGGCAGACTTCAGAACTCCTGCCATTCAACACAAGGCTGGGGCCTGACACAGCCAGCAACATGATAGAAAAACCGTTCTTGAGCACAGGGATACCAGGCTCTGCACTTAGGCACAACTCAGAGCAGATCCATTGTCAGCCTGCAGGGGACTCAGAACAAGTTTCACAGCTTCCCGAGCCTCTGTTTCCCCACCTATAAAAGCCGGGTCAGACTAGTAAAAAAGGTCACTCAACTCTGTTAGCAGGCACTATCATCGTGGGAAACATCATTTCGATTGTGACAGAGAATTTCTCAAAATATAAATATGAAATTGAGGCACTCCACAGTGTCAAGAGGACAAATTTGTCTTTGTTTACCTATTTTCTGGCACCTGTGTGGAGTGAGGACTTTTCACCAAGAGCTGATCTAGTCCATTTCACAGGGGGCAACTGCAGTGGTCCACAGCTGTCAAAGCCTTTGTAGCTACAAAGTCCACTGACGCAGCCCTCTCTACCTACTCAAACCAGACACCCTTTCAAGATTAAATAAGCCTCACTCTTGCCTGGTGCATTGGGATACATCTTCTGAGGAAGAAACAGGAGGTTCAGGAGTCCACAGCTAGCCTGGGATACATAGTGAGTCTAAGGCCAGCTTGGGCTACATAGTGAGACACAAACAAACAGACAAACAAGAACTTTATTCATAGGCAAAAAACAAAAAAACAAAACTTTTAAATGCCATCCTTTAAATCAGGGGTCCTTTAAACTTGAACCTTTGTTAATAGAACTAAAGTTGAACTTGTCCATAATCAACACAGAAGGAAGACAGCATTAAAAATTTCACCTTTCGCTGACTGGTTCAGTTAGCAGCAGCTGGGAGTGGAACACTGTAGGAAGTGGGCCCTTTGGGAGGGAGCAGGGTTGAGCTGACATCATGAGGGTGGAGATTTTCTACATGGGATTGGTGGCTTTAAGTGTCCGGAGAGCTTGCTGCCCTGTGTGGACAACATCCCCTAAACATGGGCTTTCATCGCCGGCTCCTTAACCTTGCACTTCCCATTTGCCTAAAGTGGGAGAAATAAAGGCTTATTCTTAATTGTTGTTGCTGTTGGTTTCTCAGGACAAGGTTTCTCTGTGTAGCCCTGGCTGTCCTGGAACTTACTGAATGGTTGACACTTCCAGATCACCAGCCATTCAGTGCCAAGGTCTTGAGTTTTAACACAGCCATGTCCTGTCTTGGGACATGTTCATTTTACAGGCAGCATGTTTATTTTTAAAAGACCGCACTATCTGCTGGAAATGGGAAATTAGAGCTGTCTGTGTGGTAGAAAGCAACTATAAAGGAAGGCATAACATTTAATGTCGATATAATATAGATATAATAACAACAATATAGAAGCAGTAAGGAGCTGGGTGCGGTGACTCACGCCTGTCATCTCAGCACGCCGGAAACACACCTTTAGGCTGATGACTCAAATCTGAAAGACCTATTTCAGAGCTTGCTTTGAGGTTCTAGGATGGGAGCACAGCTATTCTTATTCCCTCGTCTGAAGGCTGGTCCTCCTCTATTCCTGGAAGGTCATCCTCTTTGAAGAGTGCACAGCTTGGGGAGGATGATAGTAGAGCAGGGAGGAAGGGAGGGAGGGAGGGAGGGGACACCTGTCTAGCCAGCCGGTGGTCAACAGAGTGACAGATGTGGCACCCAGGTCACCCTTACATCCAGAAAGACCCATTTGAAATTAACAATCACTTTTCATGTATCTATAATCTTTTGTTGTTGTTATTTTGAGACAGGGTTTCTCTGGGTAGCCCTGGCTGCCCTGGAACTAGCTCTTTAGACCAGCCTGACCTCAAACTCAGAGATCTGCCTGCCTCTGCCCCCAGAGTGCATGTATCACCTTCACCACATTATAAATGTTTATTCTTAAGCTATCCAGCTAGGATATTCTTAGCTTGAGCTAAAATAGAGGTTTAAAGAAGAATGAGGGAAAGTAAGTTTCAAAGCTCAGGTCCTGTAGAATCTCCAGACAGTTGCCCCTGTGGTCGGCGCTCTCCAGCTCCCACTGGTTTCTTCTCTGAGAATCATGCAGTGCACACAGAAGGCCTTGCATATCTGTAAGGCAAAGCCTGCCTTCCCTGGCAGCTAGGCTGTTCACAGCCTGTGTCCTAGGAATTTCGAGTTTGAAAATGAAACACCGAGATGGGGAGGAGCTAAAAGACCCTGGAGAGGAGACAGAAGCCAATGTCCTCTTAATACAGTCCTTTCTATGAAATGCTCCTTCTAAGTTGAAGCTTCTAGAAGTTTCTGTCATTTTGTTCCTTTAACCAATATGTGCTGACAAGCACAGCATGAATGGCCCTGCTGAGATCAGACAGCATGGGGACATTGCAGGACTCCATGAGAACAGCAGGGTGTCATCTTGCTCTGATCTCTGCTGTGGGTAGTTCCCTCCTCCTCCTCGTGACCCAGCAATCCCCAGATCTCCCTCCTTTGCTTTCCACCACAGTTGACTGGGTCAGGAGTGGCTGCTAAAGGAAGCTGGATCAAGTAGCCCCTCTCCTAAAGAATGTGGACTTGGGAAAGAAAGCCTCCGTTCCAACTGGGAGAGGTTTTGGAACATGGATGGCAACTGTTGTCTGTTATGTGAACTGGAAACAGAAAGTCAGTTAATAAAGAGAGACAAAGTGACAGCCAGTGGAGCAAGACAAAGTGACAAGAGCAGATCCACTGCTCCACTTCTAGAGCTCCTCTTCTGCTGCAGGAAGTTCCTGAAGCCCCTGCATTCGGAGAGAACCCCAATCACCTTGTGTTGAGCATCTCCGTCCTCTGTTCAGAAAGAAGCAGGCCTCCCATGGGAGTCAACAAAGCATGTCATATTGCATTGAGGCAAGACCAAGCCTCCCCACCCCCACCCCAGCACAACTCGAGGCTGGGCGAGGCATCCATGCATGTAGAATAAGTTTTAGCTCATGTGCCAGGGACAGGTGTCCTGGTCCCACTTCTAGGGTTCTCACAAACAGAAAAACCACACGACTGTCATCTACACGCAGAGGGCCTAGGTCTCTCTCATACTTGTGTTGTAATCATGAACCACAAGCCCAGGGATGACACTTAAGGAGGAATTTTCTCAATGGAGACTCGCTCCTCTCTGAAGACTCTAGCTTGTGCCAACTGACATGAAACTAGGCAGTGCAGGTTCATATGCATAAAGCAACTTTATTTAGCTATAATGAAACTGAAATGAAAGTATGAAATGTACAGAAAAATAAATGAATCTGGAAAGTGTAAAATTAAAATTAAGTAAGGTGACCTAAACTCAGAAAGATTGAAGCCACATGCTCTCATATGTGGATCCTAGTCTGTAATGTATACATGTGTATATGTAAATGAAGGTAAATGTGGACAAAACTTCAGGTATTAGAAAAGAGACTGAGAGAGTAAAAATAGATAAAGAAGGATGTGTGATGATGAGGGTGAGAGGTAGGCAGGAGCCAACAGGACACATGATTAAGAAAAGAGCCTGGATGGGCAGTGGTGGCACACGCCTTTAATCCCAGCACTTGGGAGGCAGAGGCAGGAGGGTCAATGTGAATTCGAGGCCAGCCTGGTCTTACAGAGTGAGCTCCAGTACAAGGGTCCAAAGCAATATAGAAAAACCCTGCCTTGAAAGAAAAAAAACAAAACAAAACAAACAAAAAGAGCTTGGAGGGATTTACAAGCAGAATGGAGACCAGAGGAAGGATCCAAGAAGAATTATCAAACACTTTTTTGATAATGCCATAACAGTATCTAATATCTAATAGGTCAATTAAATAAAAACAAAAACAAAGGAGCTTTAAAAGACATCAAAGCAACAGAAGAACCACCAGTGACCCAGTCTTAGTCTCCAGTGATCACTCACGATCAGAGACATACTAGGTCATGTTCTTAGTTACCAAATATGGTATTGTCACTGTAGAAAAGGAAAACATAAAAAAGACAAAAAAAATTCAACTCACCAGAATTCTACCTCCAATCAATTTTGTTGTCTCTTATAGATTTTTAAAATGCTTTAGATGTGTTTTATATGATAGATATAATTCTAAATATAGAGTTTTGTGTTTTGTCCCCTCTTTGAATAGCATCAGGACACACTACATACAGATTCACTATGAACATGGGTGTGACTGCCACTTCTAGTCTGTCTTTGCATCTGAGGACTTGAGTGTCCATAGCAGTCTGAACACGTCACCCAAACAGAAAACTAAAAGGAGACACAGGCTAAGCCAAGGCAGGAGTCTTTTACAGGGCTGATGACCTAGTAGCCGAGTTCCTTCCGCAAGCAGTTCTATCTTAAGTGGGAATTATGGTGGAATAATAAGAATTGGGAAAAACAGATAGGCTGAATAGATGTTTATTCAGGGAGAAATAACTTACAACAGAGACAGATGAATGCCAACAGGGAATGGTCCTGCTTCATCAAAGATCATACTGGTGGGTTCTGTTTATTGTGGTCAGGTCCAGACAACCTCAAGCTCAGGAGGCTCTGGCATGAAGGTCAGCCAGGACACAAAGCATTTCTTCGCTGTTGCCGTTGTTTTGTTTTCTAGGGTTTCTTTGTGTAGCCCTGGCTGTCCTGGAACTCGCTCTGTAGGCCAGGCTGGCCTTGAACATTAACCTGCCTCTGCCTCCCAAATGTTGAGATTAAAGGCATGCACGATCACCACCACCCGGCTATAAAGCATTTCCAAATGGGTAAAATCGGTTGGTAGAAGGTTTGTTCACTGGCTGGTCATTCAAGTAAGCAGGAGGCAAACTCAGGAGAAAACTACTTTGAGTTTGCTCTGTGGCTAAGTGGGAGTGTCTAAAACCACGTCAAACCAACCAACCAAATGAAATTAAACAAACAAACAAACAAACAAACAAAAAAACGTACACCAAATAACAAAAAGAGAGCAGCCGGGATTGTTGGTAAAGATAGCACTTTAAAGACGCATGGGGCCTTGCCATCACCAGCAGTCCAGCCTTTGCCAGGCTGTTCATGAGGGTTTGGATTTGGTAAAAAGGAGAGAGAAGAAAAAGGGATGAGAGCATGGGAGTCCCAAATGTAATTCACTGAGAACCGGATTTTCAGGTTAAAAGTGCGTCTAGATGTCTTCCTCTGGAGAGCACTCTTTACATCATGGGGTAGGCGATGACAAAATAGTTAAGTTCTGAATCGATCAGCTTTCTGTATTTCCTGTAAATCTCCCGTAGGGTCCTGTCCTCTTCATTTGTCTCATATCGGTTTGTATAAATTCTCACCTGTGTCAATAAAGAAACACCACACACACACATACATACACACATATGTTGACTACATCACTTAAGACCTGACAACCATCCACATGCATCTACACACACAACTAAAGGTTGAAGCAGAAAAAGCCTAAGCATGATTTCCTTTGGTATCCATGAGGGACTGATTCCAAGATGCATGCATGGATGTTCAAGTCCCTTATGTAAAATGGATCAGTGCATGCAAATTATCTCTGGGTTGCTTATAATACTTACTATAATGTGGATGTCATTCTTAGAGAATAATCTTAAGAAATATACATCGTCAGTAAAGATATAAAGTTGGCTGGCTTCATGGATGTAGAACCCATGGGAGACAGAGTGGAAGAGACTTCCAGATCCCGTCTGTGGGGTTGGTTGTCTCCCATGGACAGATTCAGGGGCAGATCCAACCTGCATCACAGCGTAAGTGTCGAGTCTGGATGTCCCTGCTTAAGGGTCCTTACCTTTAGTGTGCGCAGGGAGCACTGCCCCTCCTCCTGGCTCTTCAGGATCCGCTCCACAAACTTAACATCCAGGAAAGCCCAGATTTTGAAGTAAAATAGCTTCCGGCAGGCCAGGATGAGGAGATGTAGCTGCTCATCTAGCGACTCATGATTGTTGTTGAACTCGAATGTTAACTTCTAGAAAAGCACCGAGGGAGAGGGGCAGGGTATCAGAGGTGCTGGGAGACTGCCCAGAACATTGGCAGTCTCTAGTGACCTAAGTCACATTTGGTTTTCTGTCGAGTTTGCTTTTTCTCATCTCCTGCTTATTCTTGACTTCAGGAACCATAGGGGCATCTGTCTACTGCTGTGAGCCAGTGGGAAGAGGCTCTCTGTTGACAGCAAGGCACCTCCTGGCTCAGGCTTCACAGCTCTACAATGGGGTAAGGGAGGTTTTCTTGGTTCACAGTCAACCAGAGAGTTCCCTATGTCCTGTGGGAAGGGAGTGAACAGTGGTCTTTTGAGGAGTGTGTGGGAGGCTTAAGAGTGTGCTTGGTAACACCTAGAACTCTGACAGAGTTAAGTGAGCATGTAGAAGCCTGGCCAAGATCAGGCTTTCCTGTGACCAACAGCTCCTCACAAGCTCCTGGGAGCCTCACTTGCCAATTACCTGCAGGGTGTTCCGGAAGGTGGGCAGGAGGTCCATCAGAGTGGGCCGCATGGACCAGTCTGGGTCACTGAAATAGCAGCTTCTTAGGCTGATGCTCCTGACTGGAATCTCCTGCAGCAAGATCCGAGCCAGGCGCTCATACTTCATGACTCGCTCGAAGAAGAAGTTTACCTTCAGGCTGCTGGCCTGCCTGGCCAGCTTGGCCCAGGACATGCCCCAGACTACCTGGCCGTGGGGGTCGTGAACGTGGCATTTGATGTTCATGGTTCGGAGGGTACCAGCATTGTTCTCACTCAAGGTCTCGAGCAGCTCGTCAGAGATACAGTTGTAGTTGAGTGTTAGGAATGTCAGGTTGTGGAATGTGGCCATGGCCTTGTTGAACTGGGAGCTGCCATAGACGGCCAGGTGATGGCTGAAGAAGTCCTCAATGTTGAGCTCTGAGGCCAAGTTCTCATTCCGAAGGTAGCTCAGGGAGTTGAGGATGTGGCAGCCTTGCTCCACTGTCAGCCGGGCTCCTTTCAGGCTAAGATGGTCCAGATGTTTGCCCATCTTCTTTAAGAAAAAACTCAAGCTCTTGATGAGAGAGCCCCTGATGCTGTTTCTCCAGACCAGCCGGTCCAGTTCCAGATGCTGGATGGACAGTGACCTCAGACGGTTGTTACTCTTGCCGAGGCACGACAGGAGGCCTCGCATGGTGACTTGGAACTTCTTGGTCAAGACGGCATTGTAAGGGTTCAGGAACTTGATTTCTAAGTGTTCCAGGTAGCGGCCAAATTTCTTAACGTACCAGAGCGCTGACTCAAATTCAGATGCGTGTACCCTGGATGGCCTCCCGCTGAACGTGATGGTCCTGTATCGCCAGAGGTCAGCTGAGTACATCATCTGGTTCCATTTTCTACAGACCAGGGCAGCTCTGGACCTGTCCCTGTCTCCCAGCCACCAGAAAATACGTCGCAGGCACACATCTGGCAGAGTGGCCCAGCAGCTCTGCTCTTGGGGCTGGATTGCTTCACCCTCTTCGTCCATCAAAGGACCCAGATGTACAGTGTAGCAGTGTGGTGAGCAGGGCTTCAAAAACGGGGAAAGAAATGCAGTCACGTGTTCTCTGTGAGAGGTCAAAAAGCAGAAATCAAACTCAATTGAACAAACTTCCTCTGTGCTTCTACTGTACTGTCAGGCACTGCACCAGATGTAGGCGGTTCCTTGGTGAATCCAGGACACCCCACACCTATGAAGACTGCGTTGCTCATCCAGGGTCACAGACCAGCACCCAACTTCAATGCAGTGAGATGCTGCCTGTGGTGACACATTCCTGTAATTCCAGGACTCAGGAGGCTAAGGCAGAAGGAACACAAGCTCAGGCTAGCCTGGGCTACACAGGGATCCCCAGTCACCCTGGACTATGTAGCAAGACACTGTCTTCAATAAAACAAAACACCCAGTGTTTGTTAACACAGCAAGAGAAATGAGGAGCCCCAGGCATGCTCACGATACAGGGGGATAGATGCACAACTAAAAAGTGACTAGTTTCCGGTAAGGAGGAAGTGCTGAGGGCTTCTGAGAGGAGGCGATGTCCAAGTTAAAGTTTTGAAGAATGAGTAGGCTTTGCAAGGCAGACCCAGCTGGCTCAGCGGCAGAGGAAAAGCAGTTTGTATTACAGAGGGAACAGTTATGTGTGAAGCCACCCAAGTGTGAAAACATGATGTGGGCACTCTGATGGGAATAGCAACTGCTTTCATATCATGAACTTGTAAGTTCTATTTAACAAAACAAACCAGCAAACAAAACTTCGCTTGTAAACAAACTGCCCAAGGTTATGAGCCCCTACCAGGGACAAAGTGATCAAGAGGCCAGAAGGTAATATGGAAAAGTGAAAACAAAACAATTAAACTGAAAGCTGGGGTGCTGCTTGGTAATAGAGTGCTTGTCTAATACCCTCGAAGCTCAGGGGTTGATCCCCAGCACTGGGCAAGTGTGTGTGTGTGTGTGTGTGTGTGTGTGTGTATTGGATGGGGAGTGGTGCTAAATCAAACCAAGGCCAAGCCACAGGCTACAGATGTGTGTATGCACATGTGCTGAGGTGCTGACATGTGTGGAGGTCAGAGTACAGCCTCTGGTATAGGTTTTCACTTTCCAACTTGTTTGAAACAGGATCTTTTGTGAGGTTTCTTCTGTTTACATTTTCTCTTATTGTAGATAGCTTGGACTACTACAGCTTTATATAGGTCCTGGGGATTCGAACTCATGTCCTCATACCTCCTGCATGGCCAGTGCTTTACCCATAAGCTTTTCACTGTTCCCGAGTTAGAGACTTTGTTGTTGCAAGAATTCTTCCCAAATAATAAGTAAACAACACTCCCATTGGCAGGACTTAATGGTCTGTCAATTGCTGTCATCTTAGTAATACTCTGTTAATAGGAATAGTCATTTCTTTCTCCTACTTTTGGGAAATTTAAACGAGCTGATGTGGATAATACACCTGGGAGGCAGAAAGTGCTGTGAGCTCTGGCTGCCATTAGTAAGTTGGGGCCAAGGTACTTCTGCATTTTCTCTATGAAGACGGGAACACGCCCATTTTGCAAACAGAGAATCGGAGGGTGTTGGGAGATTAATAAAGTTTCCTAGTGAGACAGTGTTCTAAGTGTATGAGTGTGGGATTCGAATCTACTCTAGTGTTGCCAAACCTGGGCGTGGTCCACCATAATATGACACAGCTGCCAACCAGCGAGGGGAATTTAAGGCTATCCCATCACCAGGGTGGCGCGCCCCTCCCATGCGGGCCTAGTGGCTGCGCGGGGCCACAGCTGCCCGCCAGGTGCGTGGATGCCTCGGGCTGCTCGTTACCGGCTCGCTGCGCCCCGCTCGGGCTGCAGGGACGCCGAGCGCGCCTGCCCCTCCGCCCGCACTGCTGCTCCCACGCCGACTCCGAGAGCAACCCGGGCGGTGCCCTGTGCTGGCCTTGGCCAAGACCACCGCCACCTTTGTGACGCGCCGCCACCCACTGGCTCTGCTAGAGCTCACTGGTGGCTTGGTCTCAAACCCGGGGTTGCCAGATCCACTGCTGGCGAGTGGAGAAGGCTGGGAGATCGGTGCACAGACCCACCTGGAAAGCACCAGGCCAAGGCAGGAGGCTGGAGGGAAGAGCACTTTGTGAGGCTCACCAGGTGCCCTGCTCTTACCTCTGCTCGCAGTGCAGCAGCCAGGAGGTCTGATCCCAACTGTGCTCAAGTTCATTCCCCTCCAGTTTTGACCTCTGAAAGCTTTGGGCCTCCATTCCTATCCTCAGATGAAGACTCCTCTCACCCCGACGCTAGCCGTGGGCTTCCACTCTTCTATCCTCAGATGAGGTAACATCTCACCCCCCAAAGGGTGGGTTTCAAATCGGGTCTGCAAGCAGACCTGGGTTGAACCTAATAAAGCCTGAGCTCAATTCTCCTTCCCAGCTTCCAGAGGTGATGCTCATCTAACCCGCCCACCTAGCTTGCCGAAAAACCTTTTTGCTGAAGCCCAGGGTTGAGTATGCTGTATGTCCCCAGAGAATGTGGATGCATCTATCCCTTACTTTACTGCTAAAGGCCTCATACGAACCCCTCCTCCCCTAGACGGCATCTTATCACCCTCCCCATCGCCAATGTGAAAGATACAGCTCTCGATTTAAAGGAGATGAAGAAATAGTTTATTTTGGAGCCTAATATGAGTGATGATGGCCCAGAAATACACATCCAGTTTGCTCCAAATAATCATGTTCCAATGTGGTAATAATTTTGGTGATTTTTTTTATAGTGACCAAATAAAGAAAGTCACTTTACAAATATTGGATATACATCAGGTAAGTGGGTTATAGCAAAGCAGAGAGACCTTGCTATAGGCCCCAGATGCTGTGTGACTTCCTCAGCAGCAGGAATCTGCTTACATGTCCGCAAACCTTTCCCCAAGAGTCACAGCATGTTAGGTCACAGACAGATGTGGACGACAAGTGGCTATTTAAGGAGCTAAGGTAGCTCAAGGTACTTGATGCTGGACCTGCAACAAGCTAACCTCTACATAGCCCCTGGAGTTCTAACCAGTCAGCCTTTGTAGAATGCTCATTGTAGAATGCTCAGTTTGTAGTGGCTGCTTTCTGGGAACTTTAATTCACCCTGCTTTGCCCTTTCCTTCCCCTCCTCCCCTTTTCTCCCCTTTCCTATTTTTTCCTTCTCTCCCTTCTTTCTTTCTCCTACTGTATCATTGCCCCTTCTAGTTCACATACTTCTAACATGTCTTACTCTGAAAAAACCAATGAGGAAGGCAAAGAGAAAGGACAGGAGACTGGGTTTTCCTGGGCAACTGAGCAGTTGAACCTAGGTGCTTAGTCAGGAGTTGAGTGGAAGAACAGGAAGCTTTTTCTCTGGGCCATCTGTAGTTCCTGGGCCAACAAGGCCTGGCTCGCAAGAAGAAAAAGACCTAAGGTTATTTTCTGTAGCCCAACTATTAAAGTCTGCCTCTTTTCCTAAACAAAGACCCCCAAAGTGCTGAGAGATACCGAGTGACCTGCCCTGAACTAGAATGAGACATCATCGCCCCCTCAAGGCCCAGGGGACATTACTGAAGATGGGGCAGAAAGACTGTGATAGGGATTAGGGGCCTCGTGGAATGCTATGAAATGCTCTCCTGAATCTAGTATGGCCATGGCTATCACAAACATGGGCACACGTCAGCTGTGGTTGCCTGCACAAGACCTGCACTTGTGTGTGCTAGCCTGTGTGTGCTAGCATGTGCACGCAGACTGAAAACTTGAAGGAAGAAGGGGTTTTACAGGAGTGGGATGGGAATGAGGGAAGGCAGCGGGGATAATTATGATTACAGTACATTGTAAACACATATGAAACTGTCAAAAATTAAAGGAAAGAATTTTAATTACGGATTGGCAAGGAAAACAAAGTTGTGACCACCACAAAAAGGAAGCGGGGAAGCCAGTGTGGACTGGAGCCCTTCTGAATCCTAGGGCCTCTTTCCTCTGGAGCTAGCTGGCCTTCCTCACTTGTTTTTCTCTTGAGCTAACCTCAGGCACTTCTCCTAGAGAAATAAAAATAGATGTTAAAAGGCTTCAAGTGGAGGCGAGTTGCTAAGTATTTACTGGCTTTTCTGTTGTTGGTCTTCCCTGCCAATAGGGGCTTTGATAAAAGCCAGGGCTTTGCAAGAGCTAGATCAGCACTCTGCCTGGCAGCTACATCTTAGTCCCTAAAATGATGCTGGTATCTGAAGTATCTCTGGGTGTTGCTGTCCCTTGTCCTGAAGCATGTTTGATGGAGACGACTGAGATGGCATCGAGGAGGCTTGGGATAGTGGTTAATGAAGGCGGGACATCACGGGCAAATAGGAAGGAGCACATGTTTCTGTGCAGCCACTGAAATCAGTGAGCCACATTGTTTACTTGGTTAGTGCCAACTCATAGAATTGAGGTATGGAAGAATTTGTATAGCAACCCTCCCAAATGCTTGTGTATGGGTAGATCATAGGGCTATTGAGTAAAACACAGGATGACCCATTAACTGTCAGTTTTGGAGACTCAACCACTGTGTGAGAGACAATGGTTCATGAGTCCAGGAGACTCAAAGTATCCAAACAGAAGCAGATGAAGTAGTTTTACAGTCTTGCAAAGTCTTGAGAGGAAAAAGTAAAAATGTTTGGTGTCGGACAGTGGTTTTTATGGTTCTCAGATGCGAAAAATTCCTGCCCACTTTTTCCCATAGGTTGGTTCTCCAGTTAGGTTTTCTAGCATAGCCCTCCAACCCCGGGGGTGGTGGTGGTTGAAATACTCTCTGTCCTAGTACAGGAGCTCAGTCATGTAGCAGACTAACTATTGAACCCTGACATAGACTAAAAAGCACCCATGCAAATGGGTGCCAACTATTGGCTAGAGAAGGCACAAGGTCTCCTGCTTGCTTGCAATTATATAGTGAGTTCTAAATGCACCTTCATATTGAAATGAATTTTCATAATGAAACTGAACCATAATGGTTGATTTCTTACATTTTCTTAGATTAAAAAGTCTCCATTTCTTTGAAGTTCAAATTTGATTGGGCATATTGTATTTTTACTTGCTAAGTCTGCCAAGGATGGAAAAATGTGTGGAAATGCCCCACTAAGAATGAAATTAGTTCATTTTTATAAAACTTATACATGCACAAATAAAATTAGAATAAAAGGCGTCCCTTTTTGAAGGACTGTTCATCTTATAAAGTAAAAAAAGGCGAATGGCAGAATAATGAATATACTGAGATAACACATGGGCGACGGGCAATTCAACCCTGTGGTTCATGTTAGGCTTTGAAAGGACACCAGCAGGCTGCTGAAATTGCTTCCTCAGTGATGTGTGACTGGAGGACATGGAATAGGTGGGGAGAAGAATTAGCTTGTGTGTATATGTGTGATGCTGAGGAATGAACCCAAGGCCTTATGCATGATGGACAAATGTTTTACCACTGAACTATATACCTAGTCCCTTCTCCCCAATTACTTATTTATTTTCAACATAGGGTCTCACTATATAACTTAGTTGTCATTGAACTCACTATGGAGCCTAGGCTTTCCTTAGACTCAGGTCCTCTTGTCTCAGTCTTCCTTTTTAAAAAATTGTGTGTGGTGTTTGCACATATGTGCAGATATGTGTGTGAGGGTCCATCCTCTAATGTGTACAGGTCAGAGGTTGCTATTTTTTTTAATGTCTCTGCTTTTTTTTTTTTTTTTTTTTTTTTTTTTGGAACAGGGTCTCTCACAGAACCTCAAAATCACAATTTCAGCTAGACTGACTGGCCATTGAGTACCTGGGACCCACCCTTTCTCTGTTCCCCTAACCCAGAGGTTTCAGGCATGGGTCACTGTGCCTGGCTTTTGCATGGGTTCTGCAGATTTGAACTCATATCCTTCTCATGCATAGCAAGCACTTTAACCAATGGGTCATCTTCCCAGTCCCTGTCTCAACTTCCCCAAGTGCTAGATTACAGGAATTCACCACTAGTCCTGACTGAATGATGGTTAGTTTTCTGTTAACTTGACACAACCTAGGGTCATCTGGGAAGGCAAATCTCAGTTGAGAAAAATGCCACCATCACATTGACCTATAGCTAATCTGTGGGCCCTTTTCTTGGTTAATAACTGCTATGGGAGGGCCCAGTCCATTTTGAGTAGAGCCACCCCTGGGCTGGTAGTCATGGGTGCTATAAGAAAGGAGGCCGAGCAAGTCATGATGTGTAAGCCAGTAAGCAGCATTCCTTTATGGCCTCTGCATCAGTTTCTGCCTTCAAGTTCCTGCCTTGACTTCCCTGGGTGATGGACTACAAGCAGTAAGGTGAAATAAACCCTTTCCTCTCCAAATTGCTTTTGGTTATAGCATTTTGGCATAGCAATAGAAAACAAACCAAGTTTGCAAACTAGCTTTTGGTTGATATGATACCAGATAATGTCTATTATAACAAAATTTAATTTTGTTTTCTGTTTTAGGCAGGTTCTTTCCAGGTAGCCCTGGCAATCTAAGAACTCTATATGCAGAGCAGGGTGGCCTAGAACTCAAAGAAATCTGCCTGCCTCTGCCTTTGCCTTCAGTGTTCTGGGATTTAAGATATGCATCACATGCCTGGTCATATTTTGTGTGTGTGTGTGTGTGTGTGTGTGTGTGTGTGTTTTTTTTTTTTTTTTAAGCACCAAACAACTAAGGCCTCTAGCCAAGAACCTAAGAGCATAAACTTTGGAGCCTTACATTGTGAAGTCTCTCAAATGGTTCTGCATTCCCCCAGTTCCCATCTCTAGAATGAGGGCAAAGTAACCTGTCTATTGTCTATAAGGAAGGTCAGTCACAGCCAAGCATTGTAACATGCACAATGTTGGCTACCTTTTTGCCTTTCTTTTTTTTAGACAGGGTTTCTCTGTGTAGCTTTGGAGCCTGTCCCAGAACTAGCTTTGTAGAACAGTTCAGCCTCAAACTCACAGAGATCAACCCGCCTCTACCTCCCCAGTGCTGGGATTAAAGACATGTGCCACCAAGGCAGGTTTACTACTTCTAATGGAAACTCTTACTACAAGAAATAGTCTTAGGGGCCCAGAAGGATGGCTCAGTGGGTGAAAAATCCTTGCTATACAAACCTGGCAACCCCCAGAACTCTTACAGAAAAAAGAGAGTTGACTCGTAGAGTTGTCCTCTGATCTCCACATGCTTATCAGTGCAATCCTCCTCCCAATAGTAATAAAATTTAAAGAATTAAGCTTCCTTTAAAAAGAAGACAGTCTTAGATGGAAAACTCAGGATGATGGAGCCAGCTACAAAGCTGGGTGTGCTGGAGGCAAGCCACCAGCTGCCTTCACATCTGGACCCAGACCCTTCTGCTCTCAGGCGGAAACTTATCTCCACCTGGAAAGAGCACACTGACAGCCCCAGGCTTTCGTTATTCACTCCATAGCCTTGGACCATTGCCATGTGTCCAGGCCTGGAAAAGCTGCAGGCACAGAGAGGAGAGATCCAGTTCTACCCTCAATGGTGACCCAGTGACTGGGAGGTGACACAAACCAGGGAGCAAGTGCTGGAGAAAATGCACATAGGCGTGCAGAAACAGGAGGAACATGGGAGGCGTTGTTCAGCCGCCATGCTGGTACACCTCCATCCCCCATGCCTCCCCCACACAGGTTGGGTAAGTCACTGTGCAGCGGGTTCCTAGCCAGGTGGGGAAGCAGCAGGGCTGAGGGGAGAGTGAGGTACCTGGTGCTGATTTAGAATGGGCAAGGGAAGTAAGATGCCACACCGACAGCACCTCTGAAGGATGTCATAGGCTGCTTCGTCTGTAGAAGGAATAGCTCTCAGCTGGAGTGCAGGCTTCAAAGGCAGACCCACGAGGCCATTTTGGTCATTTGTCTCTTGCTTTGTTGAACTGCTTCTAATTTTTGTCTTTGGACGAACATCTTTCGTCACTGTGGATGTTTGATTTCCAGTCACCTGACTTGTAAGGGATGGAGGAAGGATTTTTGGCTTTCCATCCTGAAGATATTTCACAGTCCTTGAGGATGGACATTGTTTCTGCAAATGTGAATAATGTGTGAATTAAAAATGACTTCAGCTGCAATAGTTGGACAATACAACTAAGATAACCTGAAAGGCCTCTCCCTATAAACAGTTAGAAATGATGGATAAGGGGCAGCAACATGGCTCTGTGTGGGTAAGAGTGCTGTCAAGCCTCAAGACCTGAGTCTGATCCCTGGAACTCATGTAGTGGAATATAAGAACCTATCTCCACAAGACCTTCACTTAGCAAACACACCCACACACACAGTGAATAAATACAAAAAATCTAATGCTGAAACATATAAAAAATTTAATGCTGAATAATATAAGGCAGACATTCAATGTTACAAGCTGACTTTGCTGAAAGAAAGAAGATTCAGGTTGCAAGGATGGAGGCTTGGAGGTGTCTCTCTAAAATCTAGGTATCAAGGGGCTGGAGAAATGGCTCAGTCATTCTCAGCACCCATGTAAGGTATATCCCAACCATCTGTAACTCCAGTTCTAGAGGATATGATACCTTCTTCTGGCCTCCACCAACATTGCTTGCTGTAGTGCACACACAGGTAAGTAGGCACCTGAAGGTTAGTGATGTTTGGAGGTGATCAGGGCCATAAAGAGTTGTCAGGGCTGCTGCTTAAAGGGCTAGGCACAAGTAAAAGGCAACTATGCATGCCAAATTTGCCTAAAGAAAACGTTGGGAGAGAATGAGAAGCAGAGATCTTCTGTTTCAGGTGTGGGTTTTGTTGTGCTTTGGTTTAAGGTTATTGTTTGTGTGTGTGTTTGTTTTTGTTTTGTGTGTGTTTTGTTCTTGCTTTTGTTTGCTTGCTTTCTTACTTTGTTTTGTCTTCTTTTGTGGAGGGGGATGCAACAGGGTTGATGGGGAAATGTGGGAGGATCAGGAGGTGAACAGAATTGGGGTGCATGATGTGAAACTCCCGAAGAGTCAATAAAGAAGTTAAGAAAAAAACCCTTGGAACATAGCAAAACAAAACAAAGTGAAATAAACATTATTGATAACTGTACCGAGCAAAACTGACCTAGAATCTGGTTTTTCACACCTTGATTTTTGGATTATGAACTGGCTACTGACAATTAGAAAGAGGGAGATTGCTACTCACCATGTGGGACACATACTTATTTTCGGGAATTATTTGTTTGCAGTAATTACAATGGGTTTTTCTTTCAGGAGATACATTTCTCTTCCCTGAGTAAACACAGAAACACCACAAATGACTGTTCTTGGTGATGGCTAATCCTACTTCCCCCCTAGATGCTCCCCTGGCCTGTATTAATGAGAATTAACTATCCCTGGGCTAGCCTTGTCTTGAGTTCCCCACACTGCCAGCAGCCACCCAGGAGAGGACTGGCTGGACAGTCATTTTTATTACAGCGACACTGATGAAGAGACTCTTGCCTGGAGCAGAAGTGGTTTTTAAGCGATTGAAAGGGGCTATGTACATAGCTGCCCTGAAGAGACACTAGCCCACTCAAGCACGTGGCTCTGGCAGGCCTTTCCCTTTCCTCCACTCCATCGCCTTACTAAAACCATCAGATTACATTCCTAAAGCTGCCACCAAGGTCTGTTTCCTTAGTTGGCCACTTCCTCCTGGCCACTTCCTCCTCCTGAGGCTGGATTACCAAGGTCTAGCCATCAAAAACCCCTTTTGATTCACCTAATTAACATGCCCAATTAAAGTTAAACACCTCATCCTGACATAGCTTTCCCCTTTTACCTTTATAAACCACCATTTTCCTAGGGGCCATGTCTGTTTCGTCTCTATCCAGAGGCAGTCCTTTGTCCCTCCGGGACAAATACCCTTGTTCTCTTTCTCTTGTTTCCTTCCGCTTCTCCCTTGTCCTCTGTCTCCTGTCTTTGCCTCTCACTCTTTGACCTCTGTCCCTCTAAGGCAAACAAATCTCCTTTGTGCTGAGAACTTGGTCTTGGGATCCTGGACCGATATATTTTCTTTTGCACCCAGACTGCCTAACTGCGCTATACTCAGGTTCCGAGCTCTGTGATCTAATCAGATGTTGGCTGTACCATCACTGTGCTAAAATTGTGTTGTATTGAGGATGTCAATGAACTTGTATTGGAGACTGTTGGGTGGGAGACCAGACACAATGAGATGAAGGAAAAGTATATACTTCCTGGCTTTCCATTGGCCAATTTTGATCTTGGGTAGAGTGTTGACCTGGAGGGCCTTCCTAAGGGGTTCCACAGTTTCTCCACATGTTATCACGTTCCGTGTCTTATGCTCTCTGTTTCCCACTGTGGGTTCACACTGACCAGTGCAGTGTCTCATGCTCCTGCTGTTATGCCTTCCCCAACACAACAAGGCTGTTGTCTCTCAGACTGTAAGCCACAACAAACCCCTCCTCCCTTACGATGCTTCTGCTTCTTACCATCTTTTATTGATCACAGAATGGTAAAAGCAGGTGGAGAAGGAGATGGAGGCTTAGTGCTGGAAGTTGGAATGTCCTTCCATCTTATTTGTCCTCTGGTCTCTCTATGTATTTTTCATCTATAAGATGATTCAGGTGTGGCCTTACCAGGATAAAATTATGTCTTTGGCATGTAAAAAAAAAAAAAAAAAAAAAAAAAAGCCCTTCATATTTACGATTCTCCATGGCATTCTCTCCCTCTTCTTTGTGGTTTTTACACCCCATCCCTGGCCTCTTGTTTTCCCTGGATAAGTCACTGCAGACACACAAGAAGGCTACTCCAGTTCCCTACTCCAGTTCCATACTCCAGTTTGGAAACATACAGAATGGACTTTCTTCTCCTCTGTGCTGTTAAGGGTTTCTGCCCTTGCATCCTGCCCAGGAGACTTTCTGGCCCTGGAAACTGTCCTTGCTTTCTCTAGCTTCTCCCTGATGCTCACATTTCTCAGGCCTGGCCTTTGTCCTCAGACACATATCTTTGTGCTGGGCCATCACTCGGAGTGTGATGGACTGGTTGCAGTGTGGACAGTGCTCTATCCGGAGGCCACAGTGGGGCTCATGGACATTCAGTTTGTTGAGGTGCACAGCCAGATCACAGAACTTGCACTTGGCAGGGTGCTGTTGGGTTTCCTTGGTCTGTGGAAAGATGGAGGACATGGGCCCAACTCCCTAGGAAATTGAAGCCATCAGAGAGAGTGCTGGCAGGGGTCAGAGGCAGACACTGTCCTTGGGGATCATGAGTTCTCTTAGACTCACTGTTCTAGTTTGATTTCTGTTGTGATAAATAAACATCATGACCAAAAAGCAACTTGGGGAGGAAAGAGTTCATTTCATTTTACATTTCTACATCACAGGCTCTCATCGAGAGAAGTCAGGACAGAAATTCAAGCATGGCAGGAACTTGGAGGCAGAAATTGAAGCAGAGACCATGGAGGAATGCTGCTTACTGGCTTGCTTGCTTTACAACCTAGGACCACCTGCCAAGGAATGGTAGTGCCCACAGTGGTCTGGGATCTCCCACATCAATCGTTAATAATATGATGGAATCCCTCAATTGAGATTGTCTTCCCAGGTGATCAGAGCCTGCATCAAGTGAACAAAAAACAAACCAGCACACTCATGGGTCATGGAGATCCCCTTGTCAAGCATGTCCTTGGGGCAAAGCAATCTGCATGTCTGGGTATAATGGTTCTCCACAGTTCTCCTAGCTACTCAGATGGAGGGGTAGTGGTTACAGGGGAATCTTTATGACTGGCCTCTCTTTCCCTCTCTGCCTCTTTCTCTCAGGTTAACCTGCTTGCCTCTAGAGGAGAAATCCAACTTCAGCAAGGGAGGGCTTATACATGCTAATGACATAGTATAGATTACCTAAACTGTGCTGGCTGGTTTTATGTTCATTTGACACAAGCTAGAGTTATCTGAAAGGATGTAATAATTGAGAAACACTTCCATAAGAACTGGTTGGAGGGCATTTTCTTAATTAGTAATCGATGGGGGAGGGCTCAGGTCATTTTGGGCAGTGCCATCCCTGAACTGGTAGTCCAGGGTTCTATAAGAAAGCAGGCAGAGCTAGCCATGGGAAGCAAGCCAGTAAGTAGTACCTTCGATGGTCTCTGCATCAATTCCTGCCTCCATGTTCCTGTCATGCTTGAATTCCTGTCCTGACTTCCTTAAGTCAAATAAACCTCCCCCCTCCCCTGCCAAGTTGCTTTGGTCATGGAGTTTCATCAAAGCAGTTACCATGACCAGGATACAACACACATGTACACAGAGATGTAGGTTCTAGCCCAAGCCCCTAGCCTCTCCTTACATCACTCAGGCTAGCCATGTTTCACACTGGGGTCCATGAGATCCTAGAGGATGGAGACCAGGAATGGTTGCCTCAGTTTAGCACTTAGCCTAGGGCTCAAAAGGTGTTTGTTGGACTAGCTTAAATCTAAATGGAGCTTGATTCTCAGAAAGATAAAGCCACATGAGAGATTAACCCAGAAAGACAGGAAAGAAGACTAAGCTGGGACCATCCATCTTCTCCTTACAAGTCTCCAAAGACTGTTTTTAAAATGGACCCCTTACCTTGCCATACCCATAGTCCTTCAGTAGAGAGTAGACAGGGAAAAACGAGACAGCCTCGATGTAGCACAAAAAACCCTTTCTCTTCCCAAACTGAGGACAAACACGGAGGGGCTAAATGATTTACCCACAGGGCCAGGGAGGACTGGATTCCAGCTGCTGACCCCCCAGGCCTCTGTCCCGACTGCCACCTGCTTACCTGCTGGTGCTCAGCTTGGGTGTGCTCCTTCATCTTTGACTTTGGGATGGGCTCCTCACATTCCGGGCAAATGACCAGGAAGCGCAGGCAGTAGGCTTCGTGGAGGGCGAAGTGGACAGAGGCCACATTTCTTTTGCTTCAGGATAGAGTTGGGGAGAAAGAACGGCTCACTGTCTTATTATAATTCACGAAGCCTTGTTGCATACCTAGGGCAAGCTCTTCCCAGGCCTGCAGCATGGAAAATAAATAATGATGCAGATGGTGCCCTCCTGCCCTGCTTGTGCTGGTGAAAAAGTAGAAAATCTCACTATCATAAAATAAGTGTGAGGGCAGTCTACAAAGGGCTGCACTGCTCAGGAGAGTGGACAGAAAGGAGTGGTACAAAGGGGTTACCAGGGCAACGGCAACTTCTGAGAGTGATGACAGATTAATTTCCTAGGTTGTGGGACGGTTTCACAGTTAGGTAGTGATTGTCAAAGAGTGTACTTTGAACATGGACAAATCAGCTGGGCCTGTTGGCCCAGGTTTGTAATCTGCCAGGGCAGAGTGTTCTCCTCTGATAAGCTCATCACGGGAAATGCTTCATCTTTCCACCCACTCATGCTGGTGGCTGCTAAGGAGAAAGGAAACTATCGTAGAGAGCCAGGGGAGGTGTCCCAGGGCCGTAGCACCTGGGTCAGGGCCACAGAGGGACATGCAAAGCCTCACTGCTGTTAGCCTGATCAAGCTGTCCCCACAACTGCACAGCTCTGCTTGGTCTCCCTCTGTTCTGCCTACCTACACACTCAGCACTTCTTCCAGAGTCGAGAAATCCAGGGCAGGCTCTGCAGAAGAGACAGGCTCTTGCTCCTGGCTGTGTCCTCCGTGCCCACCTCCCAGCTCCTTTGTTAGGTGGAGGGTGAGAATAGCCCTGGAGCACCTTTCATGTTTCCTCCCACAGATGGGTGGGAAGACTATGTTGCCAGGGTCCCACATGAGGACCTAACTTTGCACAGGAATGAATAGCCCGCTAGGGACAAGTCCCTGGCTACTTAACTTCATGGCTGACCAGCCAGCCTGAAACATCCATGCTCAGGGAGTGTAGTGATCTTGAGGTACCACTGACCACTCCTCACCCCGGGAGTTCCAGTCCCTTCAAGCTCGCCCTCTGGTGTGTGTTCCTTATCCTCTTCGATTCAGAAACAGCATGCTCTCCTCTGCCCCTCTCTCCTCTGCCCCTCTCTCTGGCCAGACATGGAGAAAGTGCTTTCTTACCAGTTGCTGCACACCTGGAAGTCAGCCTCCATGGTCTGCTGCTTGGAGGATACTGTGGACTTTCTCATCTACGGCACACAAGGAAACAAAACTGAAAGTGTTTCCCTAGCCTGGCTCACAGCAGCAGGGAGGAGGGGACTCTCAGCCCAGGGCGGTTCCCAGGTCCCTGCAGCAGGACACTCCCAGAAGGCCACTTTGCAGCATGATCTAGTTCCCTGCCATGCTCCTCATCCTGGGCTGTCCCTGAACTACTGTGACTGTGACCTCTGGGGTGAGGATCAGTGAACAGGTCTCCTCTGGGCAGCATAATGGCTCCTTCCTTCCCCGCCTCCCTGACTGGTTTCATTCAATCTGGATCCCCACCCCTTTCTCAACCTGTGACATCACTCCTTCACTCTGTTTCTGGTCCCAACCTCTGTGTTAAGCCTGAGCCTGCTCCATGAAGAAGGAGCCCCTGCCCTGCACTTTACTTGGGTAAAGTAGCTACTGAAAACAAGGTCTGTGAGGAATGGGCAGCAGGTGCAGCGTGCTAGATGCTTAGCCTATCAGCTCTGGGGCAAGGCTTGGGAGTGGCCATGGATAACCCCCGAGTTTGTCCTCTGCTGCAAAAAACAATGATGGCAAACACAAAATGTAAGCCCAAGGTGATAAGCACCACAAGGAGGCCTTGTCACCTCACCCTCAAATGGTAAAACTGAGGCACCAAGGGGCTTAATTACCTGCACAAGTTCCCAGGTGATGTGGCCCAGGGTGTGATTACTCTGCCATAGCTACAGTGCTGTGGGATCTGCAGTCAGATCCTGATAAGATAATTAACTGAGTCACCTCAGCCTTTAGAAGCTGTTTCCGGGTTGGCTGGCTTACACTGGGGCTCCTGGGAGACGTTAGGGTTCCAGTGCTCCTAGAAATTGCATGCAAAATTACTGCCATGTCAGGATATGTTTGTTCTCAAGGAGGTGCCCACAGCCCCAGGCAGCCGACTGACGAGCCTAGCTGACCTCATGTCTTTGAATCTTTGAAACTCAAAGATTCCAAATCCAGTTAAAAGCAGCCCATGTCCACAAGTATTATATTGCACAATGGAATCAAGTAGATATGGAACAGTTGCTGGTTTCTTGTGTTTATTTCCCTTTTTTTTCCACCACAGGAAGAAACAGGGTGTCATTAGTTGCATGAATAAAGATGACAAAATAGGGGAATCTGAACAAGACTGAACCAGGCCCCCCTGAACTTGGATGTCAGTTGCAGGGCCTGGGAAGTCTGTGAAGCTGCTGGCAATGGAACCAGTATTTATCCCCAGTGCACTAATGGGCTTTTGGAGCCCATTCCCTATGGAGGGCTACTCTCTCAGCCTAGATACAGGGGGAGGGCCTCTGCCCTGCTCCAAATGATGTGACAGACTTTGATAATCCCACATGGGAGGCCTCACCCTCTCTGAGGAGTGAATGGGAGGTGGGATGGGGAGATGGTAGGAGGGAGAGGGAGGATGGAAGGGAGAGGGAACTGGGATTGATATGTAAAATAGGTTGTTTAAATAAAAAATTAATACAAAAGAAAGAGGGATGTGTGAATATGATCAAGTTGCATTACATACATCTATTGAGATAGCGAATAAATAATAAGAAACAAAAAATGTAACAAACAAAATTATATTCAGGACAGGGTCAGGGGGTAAGGCACCTGTCACTAAACCTGAGTTTAAACCCTAAGTTCGATCCCCATGGTGGAAGGCGAGAACCAATTCCCTTGAGTTGTTCTCTGAATTACACACACACATACACACACACACACACACACACTAAATGTTTTAAATATTATTTATAGTACTTGATAATCACAATAAACAGCTATATTACCAGCTTGAGAATTTGCTATACTGTACTTCCTATTGTCATTATAGAATGTAATTTCTTTACCTATAAGCAAACTATTTAGGGTTGGGCAAGTACACTACTTGCTCAGCATACACAAGCCCCAGGGTCCATCCTCAGCCTGTTCAAAAGAGAAAAAAATAATAATAATGAAATCACAGTGTTAACTATTGACATTAAAAACAACAATTCAGAAAGAAGAGTTGGTTTATTCAAGATCATGCCCCAGAAGTATAAACAAGTTAACACCCAGTTCCCCAAGAACATGGTCCGCAAGGACATGTGTTACCCTGTAAGTGTAACATGTCTGCTGCAGACTGTTTTTAATACTTGTCCCCTAGCTAACATACTGTTTTAGGAGCTTGTGGAACCTTCAGGGAGTGGGGCCTGGCTAGAGGAAACATGTCAGTGTGGGGTGGGTTTGGGGGGATATAGGTCAGCCCTGATTGCTGTCTGATCACTTTCTGCTCTCTGTACCAGGTAACAAACACCTGTTTCATGCCCACTCCATGCCTCCTTACCGTGACAGGTTAATGTCTCTTTGTATGCATGACTTTCTCCCTTGACAAAATACTCGACAACTTAAAAGAGGAAAGGGTAGTTTGGGCTCACAGTTTGAGGGTACAGTCCATCATGGGGGAAGGTGTGGTGGTAGGAGTGTGAGGTATAGGTCATGTTGAATCTGAGTCAGGAAGCAGAGAGATGAATGCTAGCTCTCAATGTGATTTCTTCTTTGTATCAGTTTGCCACATCCATGGACAGTCAAAATCCCTATTGGACTTCAAGAGGGAGTCCTCTGCTGTGCCTGATACAATTCGAATTAATAATAAAAACCCTGAGTCAGAGGTAGGGGTTAATGCTGAAAGATCAGAGAAGAGAAGCCAGCCGCTAGTTCCTACTTCTACTGAATCCTCAGACCAGAAGGGGTGATCCTGTCCCTAAGACCAGGTTGGTGAAAAAGCAATGAGATTAACCCCTATATCTGATTCTGCCTTTTTATTATTAAGACCAATTAGAATTCCATCTACACAGGATCCATGTTTTTCTTTTAAACTTTTATTATTCTCTCATACATTACATTCTAATTGAATTTCCCCTCCCTTCACTCCTACACTTCCCCTCTCTTCCAGATCAAGTCCTCTTCTGTAAATAATAATAATAATAATAATAATAATAAAAGCAGGCCTTCCAGGGATATCCACTGAACACGGGCTAAGAGGACTCTCTTATCTTTGTACTTTTTGCCTGGCTCATCTCAATTTGTCCCCAACAAAACCACAGTTGGTTCCAGTTTGGGGATTTGACTGTTCCCCTAAGACCTGTGTGTTGAAGGCATGGTCCCTAGCTCAGGTCACTACTGGTAGGCAATATTTGGGTGTTATTTAGGATATAGGGCTAAGTGGAGAGAAGTTATGTCATTTGAGGTGTGCCCTTAAAGGGGGAACTGGAATCCTGGCCCCTTCTTCTCTCCCTCTGTGGCTCCTGGTGTCATGGAAAGAATAGTTCTCCTGTGCCATGTGCAACCACAGGCCCAAAGAAAGGCACCAAAGGACTATTTCAGGGGTCTGAGACCTCTGAAGACCTGAGCCAAGTGAATCTTTGCTGATAAAATGTTACCTCAAGGATTTTATCACAGTGATGGAAAAATGGCTAATACCAAGCCCTTTCTGTCTATTGCCTGCATTTCTTAAGGGACCCATGTGCCTTTGGCCTGGAAGGCAATAACATAACTGTGGTTTGCAGTGGTGGCAGTCACATGTTGGCTGACCTGAATGGATATGGATGGTTGTGTGTTTGAGATAATTAAATAGTATGTCAGGGATCTCCCCCACCCACACAACACCCTAGAACTCAAGGTTTCTCAAAGTGGCAACAAAAGCCATTCTTTCTTTTGATCTTAAAAGAAAACTTATAATCATGAAAGTATGCATGATGACTACATGTTCTTTTTAAAGAGCAGGGAATATTACAAATAAAACAGAATTTCTTTCTGCCCACTGTGCTTGCTCCTGAGCCATTGCTATTTTTACTCAGAGTGTAGATGAAGGCATAATCTGGTTGGCTCATAATTTGGCTGTGGGCTTGCATGGCTGCATTGTTTTGTTATCCATCTCTGGCCAGTTACAGACTCTCCCCAGTCCAGTCCCATAAAAGCATAAAGTCACTCTGATGTGGATTTAGGATTCCTTTCTAGGATGCTGTGGCTACTGTTTGGCAACTTGGTGTTCATCTGAAGTTTCCTGCAGTTGCTTTGTTTTTGGCCTATGGGTCAGGGGAGATGATGGGGCTTGTGAAGTTTTCCACAGGTAACTAACCTCTGAGATATGATTTGGACAGGCTGCTATATGTTACCTTCCTCTGGGACCCAGAACTCTGGGTTGGCATGAAAGAATAATAATACATACTTCAACACATTGATTTGACAACGAAAAGAGAGATTTTGTGTGACAGCTGTCTGAGAGCATGGAGGACAGGAGAACATATTTAAAGAACATTACTGTGGCTGGCTTGAGGGGAGTCTCATTAAGGCCTAATCCTTTCAAGGGGTCGCTAGGCTAAGGGAAATCCTGTAAAGATAGAGAAGCTCCACTTCCAATTTATGCATTGGAATTGCACACGCTCCTGTTGGCTCTGTGGAAGGGCCAGGTGATCAGAATGGGTCCGTGTTCTGGAAGACATGATCATAGAGAGATTGCAATCTCCCTGAGTACAGTGCGTTTGAGGGGAGTTTGTTCTTCAAACAGCATGCAATGGTATCAAATGACTAGTCTTTCAGTAGAATCCGAGCCTGGGTATGTCTGTGATTGTGTTTGGGTCAGGCTTCAGGCCTGTTTGGTTCTTGAAGTCAGAGAATGCCCTGGCAGCTCCTACATAGTTGGCAAGTACAGGAGCGGCAGAACCTGGTCATTAGCCCCGTGGCCTAGACACAAAAGCTCCAGCATTCAGTGCTTTTCCATTCATACCTGTGAGAAGTCGACTCTTGCACATTCCCAGTCCTTTTCCTAGTTAAAACACATTGTCACCCATCCCCACCCTTTCCAGGCAATCTGCAATCTCAATCCAATGGCAAGGACATTTCAAAGTCATTGGGAAGATCCTTCTACCTCTTCATATAAGGTTTTCTTTTTGTTATTTACTCATTTACCTATTTGGTTTTGTTCAGGGCCTTGCACACACTGGTTGTTGATTGAGTGCTCTACCACGGAGCCATAACCTTATCCTGGGTAATGCTTTCAGAGAGCCTTCGTTGAGGCCATCTTGGCTCATGTCAGAACTGTACTCCAGTCCTGACAGTGTAATTCACTAGGAGCTTGAGAGGCCTCAGCCTTTCTAGGCTTCTGAGTTTCCTTATTTAATGAATGTCACCAGGG